CCAAAGATAGGCTTTGTTTTAAGGCCCAACTTATCAGGTAACTATCTTTCTATCTTCGGGGATCTAATAAAACTTTATGGCAGCCTTTACTGAAAACCATTATCTTTTTAGATAGTGTAGCTATAAAATGTATCAGTTAGGAGTTGCTTTGAACTGCATGTGATAGCACTCAAAACAGTGGTTTAGACAAATTAAGGTTTTATTTTTCTCACATAATAACAAGCTGGAGGAGCCATTCTTAGGCTGAAGTGGTGGCTTCAGGATGCCCTCAAGACTCAGGCTGCTTCTGCCTTTCTGGCCACCCCTCCCTGTGAGCTGATGACCTCCCATCACCCATGCTGGCTCAGCTCCCTCATTGTGTCTGCATATTGGCAAGAAGAGGGAAAAAGGGTGCAGAGCAGCCCAGCTAGTCCCCTCACGGAGCTTTCCCAGGAGGCCTAGCCAGAACAGGCCACAGGGTTATTTCCAGCTGCAAGTGTGTCTGAACAGTGTGGGATTTTGACCTGAGCTCATTGCCACCCCCAGCAAAATCCTGTCCTAGATACTGGGTAGACAACTAACAGTTTCTGCAAGAAAAATTATGACTATTCAAGTCTTTTATTTGACATATTCCTAGGTAATCCACATTTAAATCATCTTTCTTATTTGTGTTATGGGTATTTATACATATTTACATTATTTTTTCTCTCATTCTCTAGAAACACTTATCTGTGTGAACTATATGAAATGTAACTGTGACCCCAGAAAGTAAACAGAAAACTCCTCTGAGTTTTTGGAATTACAACTTTGAAAACTATGATGTAAAATTCATGTATTGTCAGGGCCAAGGATTCAGAGTTTGTTGGCTTTAATTTATATATTATACTAGTGACTTTTTATCACTTTTTATCCCAGTAGATTAGAAGGGAGGAGGATGCCGTAGAAAGTATGCCAAAGAACTGAGAGCTGACGGAGGCAAGCATGGTGTAATAATTGATGTGTGTAGTCATGACTCAGAATCTTAAACACAATGTTTAAGGTAATCTGTTTAACAAGTAGCAATGTGTGCACATTGCTTTTTAGAATGATGATTATCATAAAAGTTATAATCAACTTTAATGCTTTTAATGGATAAACGTTTTGACCTGGAAAATCTGTTTCTGTGTAATACCTCATTCCCTAATGACCCTCGTTAAATGGCGTGTGGCTGCCACATATAATTTAGTAGCCATAATTACGTAAGAACGTCTGTATTTAACGTGATCTACTTTTGTACTTTATTTAAACCAGCATTTGTGTTTAACTCTTTACTTGTGTTATTCTTATAATAGCATCTGTTGTATTTTGCCCGTTATTAGAATTATTTGTTTGTATGTTGTTCCTAATAGATTTTTAAATTCTTTGAATCTTTGCTCACTCATTTACTCAGTTACTGTCCCTCACACTGGGTGTATACGGCATCAAACCCATAAGCAAAACAGGCATGTTTCCCACCCTCATGGAGTTGAGAGCTTTAGGAGAGAGAGACAATAATCAGTTGTTAATTACACAAAAATGTGATTACGAACAAGGATTAGTACAGAAAGGGAAATTATAGGGGATCAGTAAGGAGGTGGGAAAGAGCACGAGGGCATATGGGGGGTGGCAGTGGTGCAGACTGGGTTGAGAGGAAGGCCTGCTCTGCCCTTGCCGTCACTCAGGGCTGCTGGTGACCTTGGTGAAGACTTTGGTTCTTATCCAAAAGAGCTGTGGGAAAACATTGCAGGTTTTAAGCAGAGGAATGATGTCATATTGGCGTTTTAAAAAATCTCGGGTATTTTCCTCCACACTGGTATACACATAGTAAGTAGGTGCTTAAATTTGAATATTTGTGTAATTGAACTTAAATTTTGGTGTAAATTTTTCTCATTTACCTTGATATGTTTTAGGACCTTTAGTATTATCATTCTTTAACGTGGTGCTTCTGCATATGTTTTTTTGCCATGGCACTTACAGAAATTGATAATGTTGATACTGTACTTGCAGTAGGTGAGGCTTGCTGCCAGAGGTGACTTGTCCTG